TCTGTTATCAGCACCAAGACATTGTGATTATGAACTAGAACAAGAGCCTCAACAACAATGTGGTGCTGGAACTTCATGTTGTTTGTAAGAAGGACATTTTTTTCTTTTCCCCAGAGCTTATTTTCAAAACCTAAATTAGCTCACTAAAATATTTATTTCTGCATGGTTTTCAGATACAAGTGCCTGAATGATTATTCAACAATGAAGAATCATGCTGTCTTGCCTCACTCAACTGTTTTGATGCTTGAGAATAAATGGACAAAATATTCAATTTTAGTTAAACAGGAAATCAACAGAACAGTAGATATATTTTCAGTGTCATTTTTAAAACTGAATGTAGTTGTGTTTTAGCTCTATTTTATATGTATTCCTGATATTGAAACAAGCAAATGAATGCACCATTTGTGGTAACATTTTGTTGTGTGAGCCCATTAGTTGAAAGTCAAGTAAATATCACAGCCCTATGCTCCGAAGTTCTCTGAACAGCTGCATGTTAGCAGCGGTGCCAAAGGGTCAAGTGCTGTTTTCTGCCCTGTACACCAAGTGCTTGGGAAAGTAAAAAGCTAGTTTAATCTACCAGGTTTGACTAGCAAAGAGCCTCTGCCTCAATTGGTAGCAGTGTCTCAAAGTTACATCACTGTAAAAACTGATGGTCTCCATCACTGGAAATCTTCAATAAATATGAAAGAACAACATGATTTATAACAGTTGGAAATATGTGGGAGTGTTCAAGACATGACATCTGTGTTGGAACATCATATGCCACCATTTCTTTCAGCTGCTGAGAACAGATGTCCCATATCTGCCTCTCATTCAAAATGAAAGGAAAAATATTTAAGAGAAAAAACTAGCAGCATTAGGACAGAACATTTTAATTTTTACAATCACTCACAGCAAAGAGGATTAAAGTCAAATGATCTCACTTTTCTCCTATGCTCCTTTCTCTTTTAACACATGTGGATATAATGTTTATTACTGCAATTAAAAAAGAGAAAAGGAAAGTAATTATTATTCTCCTTCAAGTCATGTAAGCACCAAGTACCAGACTCCATTATCACATCTATTTATAAAATATATATTTGCCTTTTGAAGAAATAAATCTTCAGATTTAAATTTCTCAATTTCTATACATTGCAAAAAGTAAAAGGTGCCCTTAAAGGGTAAATTTTCAACCTGTCAAAAAACTGTTTCCCTGGTTCATTTGCAATGAACCTTAAACATAGCAGAACCACTGAGATGAACCAAGGACCTTGTAAACAAGGGGAACTTCACAGCCCTGTATCCCACAGCCAGACATTTGGCCATCCTGTGTACTTCAGCAGCACCAGAAGGACTCCTCAGGTGGGAAAGGCAGAGGGACAGAAAGGAGATTCCTGCTTTTGTACCCAGGGACTTGGAAAAAAAGACTACTAAGATGCCTGGTAGCTAACAGCAAAGCACATCACTCTTTTCACAAGCATTTCCATATTTCTGGAAATACGGAAACTGCACCACTTTGGTGGCAGGATATGTAGCATGTGGATCCCAAAAGACTGTGAAGCTTAAAGACTGTTGAGCTGCACAACAGACAATGGAACAAAAGAGGGAGTTTCCCTGATACAACCACTTCTCTCACTTCTTTCTTAAATGTGAAGTGACTTTCAAACTGAGTATAGTGTCAAAAACTCTGTCAGGTTTTGATTCCTAAGTTGAATGGTCTAGGTAAAATTCGGACTGGTTGGTTTGACAATGTTTTTTTGCCTCATGTTAAAAGGTATGTGTAGTGCTGGAGGGGATTTAGAAGAAAGGACAAGGATTATTTACTGCTATAGAAAAAGCCTGATAAATGTAGGCTTCCAACAGCCATATGTCTTTAGTTTATCAAAGACATAAGAGATGACTTGATTACAGCATGCAATTATCATTTGGGGAGAATGGTGTAAAAAGACAGAAAAATTAGATTAGAAAATAGGCCACATATATGTGGCAGGAAGGGCACCTTGTAATCAAGGACAATTGCATACTCTCTGTGAGGAATTTCCAGATCAGATCCCTTACAGGGGAACATGCACTGCATGAAAGAAATTACATGGTCCAGCACAGCAGCAAGTCCATAAAGCTGAATGGCCTGCCCTGTTCAGAGACACCAGATCATCATTTGGCTTTAAATATCCTGATCAGGCCTTGCTAGTCCCTGAAACCAGGAGGAGCCTCCCTTCAAATACAAGGCCACCAGTGTTATCTCCAACAGATAACAGCACCTCTCTCATGGGATGTATTAACTGTCGCCTTCCATATACCTAAAAAATTATTTGAAAGCATTCTTGGAGACATGTAAAATATATATTTTTTCCTGTTTGATCTTTACATGAAAGAATACATCCTGAACTGACTTCAGGGAGTGAGATTTTGCAATTGCCTGTTAAAATCCAGACTCATATGAGCATTGCCTAGTAGTATTTTTGGGCTAAACTCCTGAACACAAAAAGACAAAGCTATGCTTGAGCCAAAGATCAGACAGAGGAAAATGCAAATATATAACTTGTGAAATGACTTTATAGAGAAAACCTGAGAGGACCTGTCAGAGCACTTTGCTTTACAGACCACTTTTTTGATCATAAAGCCAGTCCATGTGGCAGGGATTCTTACCTAGACCTCCAGGCAGCTCTGAAACCACTTGCTGGGCTGGAGCTGCTATTCATGACTTTTTGCCAGGGCAGAGGCTCTTCAAGTTGCCTGATGAGAAAATGTGCAAGGAGAAGCAATGATCCTTCTGTAATTTTGAATAAAAGGAGAAGTTGTTTGACTGTGAACTTTCAACCTCCGTGGGACAAGCTTGTACTGATATCATTAAGTTCCCTGGAAAATACCGAGATTCAGGCAGTAGGGGAGGAAATCCCCTGGCAAGATCCTTCTTTGTGATTTCACTGCTAGGAAGCTCACTGCCCACACAAGAGCAACCTCTCCTAAAATGGGCACTAGAACTTCTATATATTCACTTAAAGTTTGTAGGGGAAAAGCTGGCCCTGTTGAAATAAAAGAGCAATTCCTATTAGCTTAAATCACTTAATACCTTAATGGAGGTCCTGAGAGGGCAGACAAGCCACATGGACATTAACATCTGTATCTGTATGGGAAATACTGAAAAAACCAACAGCTGAAAAAATACTGGAAACTTGTGGAGGAATTTTGAGTAAAGACTACTCAAGCACCAAAGCACTGTTGCAAGATGGCTCCTATTTCTCTTCCACCTATCTTTCATCTTTACAGTCCACAGGAAAGGGAAAAACAACACAGGAACTTTTATGCCCCTTCTGCAAGGTCTGGCCCATAGCTGGGTGCTCATAGGAGGAGTAAGAAGACAAGGCATACATTGGCTGGACTCACCAGTAACCCACCAACACCAGAATGTCTTCAGCAGTGTAAGACACTATTTCAGGATATCATACAGTGGCCACTTTCTCTGGAATATATCCTGAGAGTTGATTAGCATCAATGGACATTGAACTAGGAATGTTGCACAGTCCATTTCTGTCTACTTGCTTTCACTTACGTTTATGGACCTTTAGCCCATTCGTTTTTCCATTCTGCTTTTGAACCAAGTGATACTGTTATCCTGCTAACCATTCTGTAGAAGCTTCCAGGAGATTAACATTCACCCTGTAAAAAAGTACTGCTCTATTATTTTTGTTGAACCACTTTCTCCTTAGTTTGCATGTCCTGTAGTTCTGGAATTACATGATATGGCAAACAGTTTTGCATCTGTTGTTTGCTATCAACTGCCTTCACAATTTAGAAAACATCAGTCAGAGCCCCTCCTCCTTCAGCATTCTCTCTCCAAACTGGAAAGTCCCAGGCACTTTCATTTGTCCTGTTTACCAGTCCTCCTCTCTATCTTTCCTAGCTATCCTTCCTGCAATCCAGACACCAGAACCTCACTGAAAAGGCAAAATGTGTATGCACCAAAGTTTTGCACAGTGCGAAAAATCTTGCTTTCTGGTTTATTCACAAGACAGCACTGAGACAGGCCTGACATTATTCTGAATAAATATGCCTGGCACCACCTCCAAGAAATTTATGTCATGGGCCTGTCAAAGCTCTCCTCCTCCTCTGTCTTCAATCTTTTCTTCACCCTCCTACTGCATGCTCACATTCCTCCAAGCCAAGTCCACACTGCTCTCCCATTTTTCTGCTACACCCCCACTTTCCAAACCTCCCTTTCCAATCTAGATAGACATCTCCATGAACTGATTTATTGTGCACAAAACTACTGAACACACTATGAAAGAATATGGGAGATGTGCACCACTGCCTCATCCCAGAGCTAGCACCCACATTTGCACTGCTGTTGGCAGCAGTTGTTACCATGTGTATAATGTAAAGACATATTTTCACATTTCTCTGCTTGAGCTTTTTGTGTGCAAGCTTGGAAGGGCCAGGCCTACCTTCCTGTGCTTAACACTGTGGATCAGGTCACAGTACATCAGGATGCATTTCAACATCTCAGCCACAAAGCCTGTACCTCCCACAATCCTGCCTTAGGTGCTGAAAATCAGCACCCAGATGAGTCAAAGCACCACTGCTAGTCAGGAGAAGGGAGGCAAGGAAGAATACTATCAAATTCCACCTCTCCTTCCCTCATCTTTGCTTCTGCACCAGAAGTCTGCTATTTTCACAGCCATTTTGCCTGAAAATTTCCACACTGGAAAGTGTGTGGTGAAAGAGGCACTAACCAGAATGAAGCATGCAGACACCAGTTCTCTGTTAAAAAGAAAATTGTCAAGCACGTGGTTTAGATTTCCATAGTGAGTAGCTTGGGAAGGGCATTTCTTCAGGAAACAACTCACCCATCATTGCTGACATGCACAGATTCTGGCTGTGCCTCCTGCCTATGCCTTGAGGTTGCTGCCGGCCTTATTTGTGCCTTTCCCATGACACCCACAACTGCTGCTGCCAAGGACAATTTCCTTCCACAGCAATGTGCATTCTGGCATAATCTTAAACAAGCAACACTAGGGAGATTTAGTCAATGAAATCTACTGGTAGTTTTATTTTGCAGTGGAAATCTGTAAAGCATATTTACAATCCACTTATATTTTACAAGAAGGGTCTGATTTGGCTCATCACAAAATAACAGAATTCTGACATTGATCTGAGAATGATTGAAACCAGCAAGAATATCTTAGCAGTCCTAGAATTTACTAGATTATAACCCCAGACATTTTTTTGAATAATATTTAAAATAAAATGTTTCCCAAATGAGTCTCAAAGGCTTAAATTAGTTTAAATTTGTTAGAAATGCATAGCCCAGCAATTGTGTAACTTCATTGGAGGTACAGAGTTTATGGCAATATCAGTGAAAAGAGAACATTTTCCAAACATTACCACAACCAGACAAATTATATAAAAAACATTCATGCTGCAGAGTAATACAAAATAAAATCATTGATTTTTTATGAAAAAGCCAATCACCTGATCAGCTCAAGCAATATTGATTTATATCTCTGAATTAACAATTTTTTTCTGTACAGTTGCAATGAGACTTCAGTTTCACAAACTGATATCTAGTTGAACATATTTATAACACAAATTATACACTATGTACAAACCTAGTTCTCCACAGAGCTCTTTGTTCAGAATGCTTCAACACAGAAGTGATTTACCAATTTCTAGGTCAGGATTCTAGCTCTTCCTTTAATTTAAATACCAAATCACTTATCAAAACATGAAAATAAGCCCATTTGTTATCACATGGTGCTGTTCTTAAGTCATTTGTTTGTTACCATATGTTACAGAAGAGTAGAACCAGTCACAGCAATAAATAAATGTGCTTATTATCAACTAAAGACTTATATTAACATAATCAGACTTTCAACCTGAGTGCTTTTACAAGACTGTAGGATCCATTGACCTTTGCTTGTCTTGACACGTAGATCAAAATTGCAACTGCAGGTACCACTACTGCTGCTACAGATGAGAATGCGATAATCAATGGTATCATCTGCACTGGTTCTTCCAATCTTGCTGAAAATGGAGACAAAAGGAGAAAAAAAATGTGTAAATATTGTTTGAAACAGATACGTGTGCATCACTGTAAAAGCAGTGTTATTAACGACCTTAATTTGGAACATATTTCTGTTTTCATGCACAAAGCATACTTTTTTTTCTTTTCCTTACATTTTTTTCTTTAGTAACTTCATATTACATACTGTAATTCCTACCCACTATCTTGGTCTAGAATTTGCTATGCAAGTTCAAACCTATCTGATATCATTTACAATGGAGAATACCATGAAATTAATGAAGAATACAGGAGGAATACCACATATTGTACCCAGGAGACATTTGTGTAGGTTTCAACCTCTTGAAATTCATCCTTCAAAGGAAGACCATGTTTTAAAAGCTCAATATTTAGATTTTTTGTGAAACACAACCTTCTCTGGATTAATCTCACTGCCCATGCACGTGGACAGAAACACAGCCAGGAATCACCTTTTTATGACCCTAGCCTTAAAGCTACCACACCAACTCAGGTGAGAGACATGAAAGCCACACTGAAAGGAGGTTAAAATACAGCTTATTCTGACCAGGTTGTTTGGCTTGATTTTAGGTGAGGGTTTTTTTTAGGTTAACCACAGTACTGTTGTGGAAGGACTAGCTATGATCTAGTTGTGCTCACCTTGACACAAATTTCACTAAAAGGTACAAACAAAATAGGTTTAAGGCAATAGACCCAGCTACCTACAACAACTATCTCAATCTCTGTATTGTTCCAACCTCACTGAAAACATATATATATATGAAGGGCATATATGCTTGTATAAATTTTGGTTTCATTGCAGAGTATAAAGCTTCCATTCACTGAGGGCAGAATAATTTCTTATAATGGTCTTTTTTTCAGGACCATCTCTGAGGGTACATGTGCTACATTTAACAGTGGTATTTTCTACTTCTTTAACATTTTCTGATGGACATACTAATAGTAATATTTTGGAGAGAAACTGAAAAGAAATGCAAGGTAGGATTTAGCAACAAACAGAAGCAGAACTCATGAGGCATCAGCAACTTTTACATGCAAAATACTAATCCAGTTAATGGGCCCACTGTAGTAGTTGAGCATGTAGCTTTAGATGCTGCTCTGTCACTAGCTATCCTTTAGCACTGAAACCAACAGCAGCTGGCAAAAAGAACGTTTTATCAATTGATAGAGTATGTTGCATATGTTTTACATTATATGAAGCCTCTTTTCTTATTTCAAATTCACTGTTTATTTGTTTGAGTTCATGAAAGGGCACAGACCAACAAACCCAGAGGCTGATGTCCTCTTTCAACAGAAGAGAAAAAAAGGCAAAGGGCCTAGAATTGCATTTTTTTTTTCACAAGGTTTCGCAATTTTATATCCTGTTTTCAGAAGATGAAGTGGAAATACGAAAAATTTTGAAGCAGCAATTATTTTATGCATCTGCTATTTTGGACAGAAGTCGTCATTAGCATTAAGACCCTATCACTTATGACAAGTACCTGTGCAACTCATTTCAGTCTTTAAAAGACAATTAATTCTTCATGAAACTGAAGATGTCACTCTGTGTAAAACAAATCCTAATATGAACACTGGACAGCAGTTATATTAACTAACCTTTGACATAAGTACTGTGTGCTGAGACTGCTCCCTGAGTTCATTAAAGATATACATGTGTATTTGCCTGCATCCCTTAGCCGAGCCCTGTCTGTGGTATATCTGCTATCTACTGTTTCAAGGGTTGTGAACCCATCACCAGCTTTCTTTTACAGACTACTCCTAAGAGATCTAACATCTGCAGATATGCAAGGAATGGTAACACTTTGTCCTTGTTTCGCTTTGCTTGAAGGGGAAATCAAAAGTGTATTCTTTAGTGCAGCTATAAAAATAGTAAAGAACAGGGAAGAGAGCTGAATTGGTGGCAGAAGTGATCCCTAAGCAAGACACTGTTGCTATGCAATAGGCAGAAGCAGCAGAGCTAAAGCAGAGAAGTCTGATTACTATTGGAAATTAAACATTGCTATCATTCCATCTAAACTGAGCAATCAGCATTTCTTGTAGCTTAATTGCAGCTTATAAGAGCAGGAAACAGAGTTGTAGCTTACGGAAGAAGCAAGGAGCTGTAATACAGTGCTTGTACGGAGTAGCTTCAGCAGGTACTGTCTCCTTGACTCTTTCCTATGCAGTTATGCACTGAGGCCTGCTTGGAAGGGTATTTCCTTCCAGGCATTGCGTATCTTCTTTACCTCATGCACACATCTGTCAGTTGGAAGGAGTCTTGGAAGCCCTGCCGACTTAAGAACTTTTCGTAAGCTATCTGTACCGAGGCAGACGTCATGCTTCATTGTTTAAAGCTTCCTAAATCACTTAGTGACATTATGGGCACCTTTTTACTCCACTGACACCAAAGACACAATTACCTCATTCTTCACAAAGAAGATCTGGACCTAAACTATATAAACCAAAAAACTTGTTTTCCATCTTGTTCTACAAACCTTGAACATATAATTTCACAGCTTTTTCTTCCTTGCCAAATGGATTACAAGCTTCACATTCATAAAGCCACAGACCTTGACTTTTCAAGTTCTGTATAGTTAAAGTTGCATTTTTAGAAATTTTCTCAGACTCCCCCGTGGCCTTCTTTTTCTTCCAGGAGATCACAGGAGCTGGATTACTAGAACTAGTACATTTCATTGTCACAGTTTCTCCTTCACTAAGAGCAGCAGTAGGGATAACAGTGATCATTGTGTTCTTTGGTCCATATGAAAGGAAAAATCCTATAGTTAATCATCACTGGATTTTTTAGGGATGGATCCAACATGTCCTATTGAATACTAGATTGCCACCCTCCCAAAGGTAATTGCTTTTTCATTCTCAAAACAAGAGTAAAGCACGTGGTATCAGAGTTTCTATACAAACCTTCCATAACCTAAACATTCTAACCATGTAGATCTACATTAAATGTTCTAGTTCTGGTAATCCATTCAGATCTGTACTAAAGACTATCATCACATTAAAGATTTAATGACTTTGTTTTGTTCATTACCACTGCTCCTTTCTTAGGAAAAGCATAGGACTATGATGATTTTTTGTTCTCATACAGTTTTCTTTAATTTGATGGTTATATTTATCACTGAAGAACTAATTATTTTTAAATGACTGGGAAAACTTTATGCATACTTACATTTCACATTGAGTGTGATTTCCCTTCTACTGTTCCCAAACTCATTTTCTGCCATACATTCATAGTCTCCTGCATTCTGGAACATCACCGATGGAAGAAGAATACGCCTGCTACTGTAAGGCCCCATGTTTGCATTGTCAGGTTTTCTCCTTAAAATAATCTTGGGAGGAGGGTTACTCTCAGCAGAACATTGTATGGAAACATTTTCCCCTTCTTTAACTGTTGTAGAAGGTTCAATGGAGAGTTTTGTAATGACTGGGGCACCTTCATGAGAAAAGAAAAGGCGGTTAGGTACTAAAAGAAAATGCAAAGGTACTAAAGGTGGAGAGAGTTTTAAGAAAGCAGGAATTGCTTGCTCAAGGATCTGTTAACTTTGTTTTTGATCCCAGATTCAATCTAAGACTTTTGGCTCTGTCAAAACAGTAGCAATCAATCAATCATAAAATATTACAACAGCAATAATATTATTATGTCCAAACCAGTTTTACTATTAAACATCTATTAAATTTATTATTAATGACCAAAACTGCTAGTTCAAAGGAGACTGATGTCCTGTGAAACTGGAACACGCATTATATTTCAAGGAAATAACAGTGTGTGTTGCGTCACCACTTTCTCAGATTCTTACATGACTTTTAGTGTTGTATTGTGGGAAATGTATAGAAGTGTGCACGTACAACAGCAGTACAGAGAGAATTAGCTGAAAATTAATATAGAAAGAAAAAGTACAGCCCATGAGGAGCAGCCTTAAATTGAAGCTGAATCCTGAATATGTAACAAGGAAGGCTCCATATTTTCCTAATTTTCAGTGTTTCAGCATCTTCTAACATAACAGAGATCAGCCAGTTAGGTACTGGATAATACAAGTGAAACTCAAGGAGAGTTGTACCTTGTATAATAATGTCCACAGTTGCTTTGTCTGTTTTATTAGTTACCAGATTAATTACTTCACAGATGTACTGTCCCGAATCACTGAAATGGACATGGGGAATAGAAAGAACATTGTTTTTTATCAGATGCTGAATGCTTTCTTCAGCCGAACGTTTACTCCAAACTATTTGTGCTGGCGGGTTACTCTGAGTCACACAAGTGAGGTTCAGAGAGTCTCCTTTCATTGGCAAGTTGCTTGGAGATGCAGTAATGGTAGTATTTTGTGGACCAACTGTAAGAGAACAAAAGGAAGACAAGATCAGTATGTAAATGAAGAATGACATGCACATCTCTAACACTAGCTTTTCTAGAGGTACATGTCACAGAATACCAAGAAAAAAATGAATAATGTGTATCCCAGTAGCACAATAGAACAATTTTCCCAGACTTTGTTAGATGTTTTGCTTGCAGCTTTGAAAGTTAACTAGCCAAATCTCTTGTACAAAAATACTTACAATTTGCATTAAGTATTACAATTTGCATCTGAGAAGATGTTCTTTCTTTGGGTTCAAAATCCATATCAGCAATTGGTAACCTGGCCACACAGGTGATCTCTTTCCCAATATCTTCAGCCATGGGATGAAATGTGTATGTCACAATTTTGGTCTCTAAATTCATGCTGTCATCGTCCTGAAAATCTTCCCTATGAAGAACATGTTCATCTTTCTTTAGAAGAACTTCCAGGTGATCAGAAGGATACACATCAGGAATTCTACAGATGACAGTGGCTTGTTCTCCAGCAACTAAGGATGGGCTGATCTCAATGATAGGATCACTGGGGAAAGCTAAAAGAATAAAATTAATTGCTTTAGACTAGGAGAGATGAATTGTAGGGTCAACATAAGAGCAAGATCCAGACACCAAATATCGTCAGTTTAGATGACATTCTATCAACATTATTACAAGACATATCTTGATCTGAATACTTACAAGTCCTTTATTAGCAGTTCATGTACTAACAGGAATTTTATTTATACAATTGCTGAAATGTGATCACAAAAGATCTAGTAAGATTCAGCACGGCACCTAGGCAGTGATACAACTGCCTAACTACAGGCATTCAGAGCAATCCATACAGTAGTGCTATCCTGTTTTCTGTGCTGGTAGGTTTAGACATCTGAATTACTCCCCTGCAAACTACAAAGGCCTTGATTTTTTCTCTCCAAGCTCTAGGAAAGCATCCAGGCAGTGTATGTTTTGGCTTTCAAGAACTATCAAAAATAAGAATAAACAATCTTCAATGCAGAAAGATAAGCAAGAAAGAGCTAAGAAAGTGCCCTGAACAGACATACAAAGAAATCTTAGAAGGAAGTACATGTTGAGCTATAACAGACTCATTATTCTAGAATTAAAAGTTAACTAGTAACTGGTAACCACAATATCTAAAACAATTGTTGAATTTTCTATCAACATGTACTATTTAAAGAGAATTCTACATTTTTACTTACAGTAAAGTTCAACTTTGACACTCTTCTCCTTTTTCTCCTTTTTCTCTCCATCATCACATATGACAGTACAAAGATAAGAATGAGAATTCACAATGCTAACTGGATTCATAGTCAATGTAGAATATGTCCTGTGGTTGCTGACTTTTCCTCCAAGGGGGCTGTCCATCTGTGTTCTCCAGGAAAAATTTGGTGATGCACAGCCAGTAGTATTGCATGTGAGTATGAGCATGTCTCCAATCTGTGCCACAATTCTCTCAGCAGGTATAATTTCCATTTCAAAAGCTTTAACTACAAAAGTAAAAGCACACATCAATTCAGCAGCTTTCTCAACTTTTATCTTCCTATTTCTTCTCAGGTTCTACTGTGACATGAGGTCTTTAAGCTTCAGTTCTTTATGGTTGTGTGGAAATTAAACTAATAAAGCTCATACAGTGTTTTACATATTCAAAACACCTCATAAACCTTGCTATTTTTGTCAAAGACAATACAGACTCAAATGACTAACAGTTTTCATGTATAAGATGGCATAAACCAAATTTAAATAAATTCATTGGCATAATATAACTTTTTTTGTCAGGTGGACCTGGTTCTAAAGCTTTGTCACGTTTGAGGGGAGAGGTAGCAGGTAGATAGCAAAGACAACAGCAGAAGCACTTTCAACAGGACATTTAGTACTAAACTCGCCTGATACTGTCAGGAATGACAGTAAAAAAAAATCGAGCATGCAGTGATATATTGGAGTTGTCTCCTAGACTGTCTTTTACCAAACTCAATAGGAAAACGACTGAGTCATTGCAGAGCACAGAAAAGCTCAAAAGTAAATGTCAAAAAAAAGGCTTCCTGACATTTTGACAGAACTACTTAATTGACAGTTGTATTCACTGAAATGAAAAGGTAACTGGAGAAAAGAGAAATAAAGATCAAGCAGTAAATTTTAGGTCATTTTACATTTAAAAAAGTTAAAACACTAAAACAAGCACCACCAACTCCCACCTTCCCCAACTTACCAGTCCTTAACATACACAAAATTACCAGCACAGCCTGGTTTGTTCTTCCCATCTCTTTAAATATACGTAATTGCTGTTACTGGGTAATTAAAGTCAATTAAAGTAAATTCAAAAATTTACTTTCTGTTTTCTGTGAAGAAGCACTGTGAGATCTTGCTGCTCTGCAACAGTTTATTACAAGAACTCTAGCGTGCTCTTTATAAAGGCTCTCCTAAGGCAGAGTGGGAAATCCCTGGACGGGGAAATCCAGAGCAGGGAGGAAGAGACTCACATCGGGCGGTGTCCGTTGGCTCAGCGCCCTCTGCTGCTTTTGTGAAAGCCCAGGAAAATAAATAGTAACACTTGTAAATACAGCGTCTAAAAAATCTGTTTCAGATCTGATCCTGCAAGCAACCGATAAAAATAAAAGGATGTAGGTAATGCGAAAGTCCAAGTAATTGAATGCAGCTCTATCTCAGATGAAAAAGTTATTTAAATTTGCTTTTAACAAAAATGTTTTTGTGGGACTGAGTCCTCACAACACTTCTAACAATGCTTAGCTCTGTAAATAACATTGCATGACTCAATATTTCCTTTGAAAATGTGCTACCAGTTCAAGAGGTGTTTTCATGCATGTTCCTAAGTATTTTTGATCTCTAAAAATTAAGAAATACATCAGATAACAGAAGTCTGGAGATCTGACTGCATTGGCTTGAATCAGGCTCATACTGTTCAACAACTAATATTCCCAAAGCCACTTTGCAGCAGATATAAAAATCCAGTTTGGAATATTTCTGAGGACAACTCTTACCAGCTAATACAACAGCTATGTTAGGAAAAAAAAGTAAAATAACATTTTCTTTGTTTCATTTTGGAAAATGCTGTGAATGCAAAGAATGGGTAAAGGTTTCTAAATCTCAGCTGTTTATTTATACAACAACTTAAGTAATTTAGGTACTACAGGGGGATCTGGACAGGCTGGATAAATTTGCTGAGGCCAATTGGATGAGGTTCAATATGGTGAAGGGCCAGGTCCTGCTCTTGGCTCACAACAACCCCTGCAGCGCTGCTGGCTGGGGAAGAGTGTCTGGAAAGCTGCCCAGGACAAAAGGACCTGGGGTGCTGGTCAGCAGCTGCTGAACATGAGCCAGGGTGTGCCCAGGGGGCCAAGGAGGCCAGTGACATCCTGGCCTGGATCAGGAATGGTGTGGCCAGCAGAAGCAGGGCAGGGATTGTCCCCCTGTACTGAGGCACCACCTCGAGTGCTGTGTCCAGTTGTGGGCCCATCACTTCAGGGAAGACACTGAGGGGCTGGAGAGTATCCACAGAAGGACAACGGAGCTGAGGAAGGGGCTGGAGCACAGGTCTGATGAGAAGTAGCTGAGGGAGCTGGGGTTTAGCCTGGACAAAAGAATGCTCAGGGCGGGGCTTATAATCTCTACAACTCCCTGAAAGGAGGCTGTGGAGAGATGGAGGTTGGCCTCTTCTCCCAGGTAACGTGACAAGACAAGATAAAATAACACCAGGGAAGGTTTATGTTACATATTAGGAAAAATTTCTTTGCTGAAAGGGTGGCCAGGCATTGTAACAGGCTGCCTAGGGAAGTGACAGAATCATCATCCCTGGAAGTGTTCAAAAATGTGTGGCTGTGCTAGGTGGGGAGATGATTTGCTGGCGATCATGGCAGCGCAGGTTTTATGATTGGATTTGATCTGAGGGTTTTTCCAGCCTAAAGAATTCTGTGATTCTATATTGGTCAATTAAAAATCACTAAATAAAAGCAGCAAAAAATTTCAAATGAACGTATGTTTTTAAAATGTCTCTGGAAAATAATTTGGTATGTAACAGTTTGGTCATTTGATGTCTGTATTTTATAAACAACACAGATTCAAATACCTAAGTAAGTGAGTAATAACTTAGAAAAATAAAGGCTGAAGTAACAATGCTGTAAATGTTAAAGAAATGTATTTCCTGAAAAGTTGGCTATACATCAGTACGTGTTTTAAGTCAGAGTGTCTATGGTTAATAACCTCACGCTAGCTCCAAAATACCATGCTCAGGTGAGAGTTGTATCAGAGCATGTAAGGGTCCTGCTTCCTACAGGAGAATGTTGTCTTCAGGAGCTATTTTTTATAGCTTTTTACCCGACTGCAGCTGCTGCCATACCTTTACATCCTCATCAAAGGATAGCTGGACAGTACAAGCTGCCACAGAAACACGCTGGGTAAAATAAGAAGCATCAATGATTTTTTTCATGCACTCATCCTACACTCATAAATAAAAAAGGGATGAAAGATCATGAAAAGATAAATTTTTGATCTTAGGCAGAAAGTATGTAATAATAAAAATAAAACAAATAAAAATGTTATAATAATTATTATTTTAAAACCACCCCAATTATTATTAAATGAAAAACCACCCAAAGACAGTCCAAGAATTACCCAGAAGGCAATAAAACAGGGAAATCTGAAGCATCTAGAAATGCCTAACCGAAAGTCACTAAAACTAAAATTAAATTAAGTTGTTACAGTGAATTCTGCCATAATATTTTATTTTTATTAGCAACATCATAATTTGTTAGAGGAGGAGGAAAAAGAGGAGGAGGAGGAGGAGGAGGAGAAGAAGGTGGGTAAGGAGGTGGAGAAGGAGGAGGAAGAATAAAACACTCCTAAGTGTCACATAATGCAAGTAGAGTACTGTTCTGGAAGTACGGCTATCAAATCCAGAAATCCAAAAGCTACCCAGGATAGGAAACAACACATCTACACAATGTGATTTCACTGCAGAGGAAGTGATTTTGTTGAAGGAAAGTGTACTCTCTCACTTAAGTTGAAAATAATTACTTTTAAATCATAGTCAGAAAGAAGCAAGAAATTAAACTCTTCTGCTTGGACTGCTTAAATAATCATCAGAAGCTAAGCTGAAAGAGAAAGGGCAGTATTTCCTTGTTTCTGGGAAATCAGTTTCTAGATAGAAAAAAAATGAAGATGCTATACCTGCATACTGGAAAAGTTTAATCAAGTCCTTCATCAGATAACATGAAATAGGAAATAACTCTAATCCTGTAAATTAAACTGGACAGCTGCCATTATCTGTAATGGAGCTGGATCCTTACCAGAGAGACTACTATACTGTGTGATAAGACAAATTCAACTCAGACAGTTTAGGTAAGAGCAGAGTTAGCCAACAAATATTACTAAAGGAAGTACAAATCTGCCAACAATTTAAAAAGTTTTAAAAAACTTTCCCTTTACACAAACCTCAAACGTGAACCTTCGATGTATTCTAAAAAGAATATGTACATTACTGTTGCTCTTACTACCCTCAGCATCAACCTCGAAATAGGAAAATGGGGCACCAAGTTGGTTATTTTCAGAATTGTCTGTTCTGTCTGTAAACAGAGACAAGCTGACAAGTTTTAGCACTTAATCTTGAGAGTTCAGATTATCTAGCTTTTTATTCAAACAGAACACAGGAGGATACTGGGGGTAAAAATAGAGGGTGCATTTACATCCACAGTGAGATAAGTATTACAGGATCAACGAAGGAATCTTGACACATGCAGAGTATAATGAGGACTGGAATGAAACAAGTATTACAAGAATATTACTAAAGGCAAAAAGGTTAAAAGAATTAAGCACTTGGATGTAACTACATGTTTTTCAATACATCTAGTAATCAAAAGAGACTTCTAAGGCTTTGATGGACAAACAAAGAGAAAGCAATTATTATGTGTCACAAAAGGGAATTTGGAAATACTGAACATAATTTTTGGCCTGGCACAAAAAAACACAAGTGTCCTTCAGGAAACTAAAATTTACATCAGACTTGTCTGGAATTTAAGAGAAGAGACCATTTTAGAATTGTGCTAAGAATTTGCTTTAACTCATACTTCTGCAATCCAATTCCAATATGATTCATTTATTAGTTTCCTCTAAGTAAAAGAGATAACAAATTCCTGAAATCTTACTGAATTATTTGAACAAAATGCACATTATCCAACATGTTAGTTACCCAGTATTTATACACCGCATTCTCATTTTTATTATACTGCACTGTGTAATAGAAATTATGCTATTACAGGAAAGCTGAAAGGCTAACCTTTTGCAGAATTTGGACTCTTAAAACCTTCGCCACTGGTTTTGTGATTTATGGCCAAGGAACTGTGGGGAAGAGAGGTGATCCTTTTGACAGAGGAAATTTAAGAAAAAAGAATGTATAAGGAAACTCATCTAATCTGATATACTGTTTCCTGTGTCAGCAATACAATTCTTCATGGCACTTCATTCCTGTATATGCATCTATTTTGATTTAGTGGAAGGCACAATTTGAGCCTTCCACTAAAAATACTCAGTTCTGAAATCGTAACTTCTGCACAGGACCCCAACACAGAAATGTATCTCTATGTCCCATCAACTTGAGAGGCCAGAATCCTTCTGTGGAAGGCTTGACATTCTGGTGAGGGGATGCAGCAAAGTCTGACTCAACAGTTCTTCAGCTTCATATCAAAGAGGTGTTACAAAAAGTCCATACTTAGGTCTTAGGTCCCCCATTCAAACTGCAGCCCTCACACATCTCAGGAAAGATACTCTTGGGATGTGCACTGGGGGTCTGAGTAAAGAAAGCCTCTTACAGAGTTTCAGATGCTTTACAGAAGCAGCTGGGATAATGATCTTCCACCCCATGCCAAGAGTGTTTGATTCCTCTGCAGGATGATCGTAACTAAAGGAAAAGAGCTAGAGGACTGTGCTGTAACTCAGATGAGAACTAATCTTGGAGGGAAAACTCACATGCATCAGCAAAGAAGGAATGACCTTCAGGCACCACATGCAAATAGTACCTTTAATATGGTCGTATCTTGATAAAGTAACTGAAAAAAAAAGGTAGCTAGAGGACATGTATGAAGACTGCTGATTACATGTCTAACGCAGAAGGAAATGATCTGCCAGCCTCAACATTTTCAGTTCTCAGCAACCTGCCTGCTCTATGGGTTATACACTGTCTCATTCCTCAGAACACCTGGATTTTTGGTTCCCAAAGCTTCCCCAACACTTTGCTTCTCCTGACTCCCTCCACCTGCTTTCTCACCACCTGACAATAATACAACCTCTGTATAGCCCCAAGAGGGGGAGGAGAGCATCACTGACTCCCTATAATTTTCATCTCCGGATGGGAAGGATGAGATCTACATTCAGATCTATTTAAAGGGTTGTGTCTGTTTCAGGAATTGTAACTTTGTACCTAACTACAAAAAGAACACCAACGCATTACCCTGTAACCCACATCACACCTCACAATTGTACTCCACATCTAACTTGTCATCTATTGCAAGAAGGAAAAGAAAAAGAAACATCTTAAGAAAGTTTTACCATCTGCTTCTTTTCCTTTTCTGGAATTTCTTAAATACTGTATATAAAAAGAAATGCCTCTACTTCCTGCATTATCTTTCTCAGGCACCAGCTTCTCAGTTAGGACACTTCCTGTCTGGTCAGTCTGAAGGCAACCAGAATCCACAAAGGTGCCAGATAAAATAATAAAGAAGTGTGGTAACTTGAGTAGATTACAGAATAGCTAATTTCTTATTTTCTTCTATTCAAAGGCATTGTCCACTTCACAGAAAGAGAAAAAACTTCATCTAATAATAAATAAAAGCCACTAGAGAAAAAAGTCCCTACTTTTTATCTCAGTCTTTTGTTAGTGGAAAAAACCATGCTGTGGAAATTCCAAACTTTATTTCTAAAAAACTGAAAGTATGATTTTAGTGGTGCTGAATCTAAAAATGAAACTGTTGGATAGCCTTGAAATCCACATAATTAAAGTGCCAAGTGCTGTATTCCAAGCCAAACTTTATTTGTTTGGATAGCTGAGCTCCTGTTGTCTTCATAGTGACACAGGTAAAAAGAAGTTTACGTCCTGAAATACTGTCTAGTGTATAATGAGAGTCAAATACAAATATGAGCCTTGGAGTATTCAAAATGTCTTTGGAAATTCTGAAGTAAGGCTTCAGATCTACTTTTATTTTGGTCTGAATATACCAAGGCATACCAAAAGCATTTGTTCTCACTGGAGAAAAAACAAAAAAAACCCCAGACAAAACTCATTTGAAATGGGCATAGTGAAAAAATAGAGTGGGCTTTGGGTCAACATGCAGATGATAGCTAGAACTTAGGATACAGCAAGGTAAAGTCAGATGAAAACATTTAAGAAGGAATATGAGCAAGTTACTTAATTTCCCCAACATTCCACAGGAAATTCCAATACCATTAAATCTTGTTGTGTACTTTATTAAGGCCAGTATTTCACATGGTTGGAAGAAGTTTATCAAGACAGTGGTGGAGAACTTTTTGACCAAGCTTTTTTCTTACTCACCAGCAGCAGCTGTCCAATACATTTGTAGGTCAGTCACTTCCCTGTTTACCACGTCCTTCCTCCTCTCTTCAGCCATGAGGAACATGGATGTCCCTATGAGCCAAGAAAGAAAAAGGGCAATGATGAGAGCAAGATCTATAACAGACCTGCAAGAAATACAGCACTTGGATTATCCTAGACAGGATACTGAGAACTGCACTGCTACTAATTGATTGTTCTTCAACTGATCTTCTAGCATATATTCTTTTTTATTCTCTTACAATGGTTCATATTCTGAAATACTATACTTGGCTGTGTATTTTTGTTGTCAAGTGTTATAGAAATGTTATCCTTGTTGTTCCACAGTGGACTGGCTCACTAATATTAGATAGAAATATTACACAGATGTCAGAAAGTAATTAAATTACTTAACTTTGCAGGATTCAAGATTCATAATTTTTAAATCTTACATATAGGTTAAGAATTACAGGGATTGCTCCACTTATTTTATTTCTTTTTTTTAAAGAACCACAAAAAGGAAATATTTCTTTGACCTAGATTTTGTCACCTTCCCCACTCTGCAAGTGGACTGGAAGTCCTGAAGAAACTGACCTTCCAAATAGAAACAACTGGGAATGAAACAATTTTTACTTCCATCAAGCCAAAAAGACAAATATTCAAGAGGAAGCATTTTGCAGTAGCAAAATAGGTATGTTAGTGTGTCTGTAAACAAACTGATAAATCAAGTGATGCTTGAAACCAGCTGCAACTCTATTAAGGATCTGGCACCTTGCTTTTTTCTCTTGAATCTGCTCTACCCTAAATAAAAAACATGCTATTTTGTCATTTGGACTATTTCTGTCTCTTTTTTCTCCCTCAGACCATTAGGTATCATCTTAACTGCTTTGTTTGTTAACACTTCCATGAAAGCAATATGCCACAGTAGGAGTGGCTAAGTGATAAAAACCATAAGCAGCTGAATTTTTTTCGACAGGCAAGAAAGATGTGAGTTACTGGAATTTATTTCCCCTTCCCAGACAATTACTTGGCTAGGCATCAAAGCCCTTGTAGTCTGATACAGACAACTGAGAAAGAATGACTTTCATAGTTGTGTCACCTTTTATCACAGACCACGTTACTCTCTAGTGATAAGAGAGGCAACTTGAGAAACGTGTCACATGTTTGGAATTGCTCTCAGGCAGGATAAAAGTCTGTGCTGAATTAGTATGAGAAATACCTGACTTCCAACATTTCAATACTTCTTAGCCAAGGGTCTCCCCAGAAATTTCCCAAGAATTGTATGTGAATACCAAATCATAAGTAACAGATGTTTTAATGACCCTCTTGGTTGGATACATTTTGCCTTTTTCCTGTTATTTCTTACTATACTTAGCTCCACACCATGAGGAATGGATATTGGCAGCTCTCTTTCAACAGCTCAGCTCCAGGCAAATCTACGTGTCTCACTTGCAGCTGAATGAAATCACTATTGACTAAGTGAGAGGACCTTGCACCTACTGCCAGGTCTTTCACTTGGAAGCTGGGACATCCTAATGAGAAAGGGAACAATTCTGTGCAACCCACAGTTTCCAACTGATAAAAAGACCTAAATATTTCATAAGCAGTGTTGAATCCTTTTGTAGATCAAGGATCGACCAGTTAAGTTCTCATGGGCTCATGAGCTCAAGATTAATCTTACCTCTGCAGCACTTTTCAGTACTCGGGATATCAGTAGTATGGTGACTTGGATCTGCAACACCATCAGGATCCAGGCACAGGAATTTCCAGAGATGTATGAGGGTGAATTCATTAAGATTTTAAGCAAATCATATTACACCGAGTTTCCTAGGTTATTTGAATGAATGTAATACAAACATCTCACACTAAAAATAAATACACTCTGTGAATTCTGTATTATTGATTTAAAGTGTTTGATAGAAACCCATCAGCCTTTAAGTGATTTATTATTAGATTTTATTATACTGATTCATCTGCTATGGCACCAAGATCCAGCTGCTGACTTTGCTTTTCTTGTACTCACTCTCAGGTGTCTTCTGCCATGGCTATTGAATTTTAGTGGCATACAGAGATTTTCATTCTACCTGTAAGGTCAGCATATGGATACTGCTGTAGCTCATGGTTTCATAAAACATCATCTTACATAGCAAATATAGTCTATCAACAATTTAGGATCTCAGACAATTTAAGAAAAATTGTTTCATTTATCCTGCATATTGTAAATATTAATGGGGAAATTTAAATTTATTTTTCTGATTCATTAACTGGAAAAGTAATAAATAAAAATTATATTTAAAGATTACAACAATATTTGCACATCAAACATAAAGGAGGGCAAATTTCCAGGTCTAGTCTATAGTATAGAATGATTACAAGAATGAAGAGAAATTTATCACATGACTGAAAAGTAAGCAGTGTATATGTTAAAAACTTCATAATTACTCAAGAGGAAAGAAATTACTAAATTAATCTGCACTATTTACTACTTCCTACTAGCTCACCATATTCCTTTTTTAATAAAAGAAACAACTGTTTTCTAAGTTTTTGAAAGGATTGTACACTTGATAAATGCCACTAATTTACACTAAAGCTGCAGATAGTTATAAAGATGATTAAATGAGGAGACAACAGTTCTGCACAACATACCTTGTGAAGTTAGTTTTGGGTTTGTGAATCACCTGTAAACTTGATCTTTTATTTTCTTACTCTTCCTAATAAAATCTAAATGTTTCAATGAATGCATTTCATATTATGGCACTAAGCCATTTTTGTGAGGATTTCTATAATGTGCCATTTAAGATTCAGTTTATCCTTCCAATGCCGTTTTAGACAGAAAATTAAATCAAAAACTCAGACAACCACGTTAGTGTTTTGACTGGCAAACACAATTACCTATGGGACTTGAGTGCAAATAGCACTTTTCTGGCACATGGCTGTAAAGCAAACCATTGCGAATAACTGGAAATCCTGTCAGGATCTAATTAGTAAAAATAGGACATAAAACCAAGTGAGAAGTCGTCTGTGATTTCTTGATAATCTCATGATTACAGAGTGACATCAGTTGCAACAATTTCATAGTAACTCCTTAAAGTCACCAAGGGTAAAACACAGTGCAAGCCTAACTTGATATGTGATTGCAACTTCAGGTTCACCTTGACTGTAATTGCTGGCTGTGTCTCAAAAGTGAGACCTCTACATTATTCAGAGAGCTCTCTGGAGCTCATGGAATGTCAAGAGCCTGCAGGGAAGGTGAGTGTAGACTGGATTGTCACTTCTGGGTTTACAACACACAGAAGTGTTCAGTAACAGTGAGAGCAGCTTGATGCTTCCCATATGAAAATAGAGGAACTACACAGGAGCCCAAGGCAGCTTTAAAATCTTGCTGTTAAAGAGAAATGAAATCTGCTATTCCTGCCAATGTAACAGTGCTTTACATAGAGATAAATTTCAAGGATTCTTCTCTGAGAAACTTACTACTCAAGGTATGCATGAATGTCAGACTCTGCCACAAATGTCTTTGTAAAATTTCGAGGGTCCACATATTGAGAGGCTATTTGAAAGAGTGTTAAAACAATTTATTTTTAAAATTTTAAGTTCTCCCTATGCTAAAACTTAAAATCTTTCTTGAAAAAACAGGAATCACCATTACTCCACAAAACACAATAAATAGTGCAAATAGATAAAAGAACAAAAACCAGAAAAATGGAAAATGGGAAGTAGTATTAGGAAAACTCTGAAAACATTATTACATAATCTTGCTTCAGTATCTCATGTACTGCAGGAAAACTTTTTTCTTATGAAGTAGCTCAACTGAAAGGACAAATGGTGCTAGCACATACAGTTAAGATAAAAAATATTATTGAGAATATTCCTATTCTCTTATTATTATTTCCACATATTACAAAACACATTACATGTTCTGTGTTGGAGATTACACTTTTTAACTTCTTTTACCAAAAGGAAACTTTTTCATAAGTGCTGCTGCTGTTTCTCCCTTACATTTAGAACTACTTGCTCATTATCTTTTCCAGCGTGTATTAAAAGAAACGCAATCGTACACCAAAGTGTTTGACAGAAAGGTCTAATTTTGCAAGAGAAAGAAGGTTTTTCTAGTTAATTCAGTATTCCTCTAAACCTTGGTAAGAATCATGGGCAGTAGGCCAGAAGCTGGCTAGTATCTGAGATCTCACCCTTATTGCCCCATTTCCAGTCTTTTGGAACTGAAATCCTGTTTGGATGTGCTCATCAGTGCAGTTGTTACAAGGAGACAGAGATGGACAGAATATGCCTACAGTGGGTCAGTAGAATTTTTCAAGCCAGAATCCCATCCCTGACACAGGCCAAAAGCATATTAAAAGATAAAATCTTGAGACTGGTGGAAGCACAAGTGATACAATTACTTACACATGGACTCAGAGAGACATGGTCTCTGCACTGAGTCTGTGTTTTTGAGAGCATAATTCAATACAAGAAAAATCCTACGAGGAAATGAAATTTGAGAAGTAGCTAAGAGATTTGGAAATACAAGTTTATGGATGTATTTCTAAAGCTTGCAGCCTTTTAAAACTTACCCTAATCAGCATAGAGAAATAGAAATTAATAGTATTAACTTGTCGCTGTTGGACACAAAGTAAGTCACATGGATGCAGCTCAAGATATGATGAAGGAAAGAGAGAACTTTATTTCTTCTCTCACAATTTATAGGTTTCTGACCATGGCCAGTGATTGGATGGTCAGGATAACATCTTTCCAACCGCACTGGCTGTGAGAGATGTCCATCAAGAGACTGTCACCCCAGGACAGAGACGTGTAACAGAAGGAATGTACACATATTTATGTTTATAGTTACTGTCCTGGGAAAGTTCTTTATCAACTATGTCAACAAGCCCCAAAGCTGAGTTTTCAGGGTGACATTAACTAACATTATTTCAGTTAGAACTAGGAATCACATGCTCTGTTCTGCCACTCTAAAATCAGCTCTGCTGCTTTACTCTCCTCTTGCACTACTACTGCAAAATCTTTTTCTCCTGCAACTTCAAAATAATCTCTGTCATTTCTGAATCTAGAATGCCACTGAACTTTATCAACTGAACTCTTCTTGTTATCCCAGCTTAGCACAGAGCCTCTATCAAAGTTTTGAATTGTCCCACAGCTGTTGCTGCCTGCCAGTGCACTGTTCTCAGGCCATCTCAGTCCTGTTACCACAGTTTGGTTGTGTCACCATCCGCTGAAATTGCACCACAAGTGTCACAGAGCTGTCTGTTGGAACCCACCTGTAAAGGTAAGATTTCCCTAAATTAATCATATCACCTTCTTAGGTTTGCATTCTGGCCTAGTCTAAAGCCCAATGGACTCACACAGTCTTCTAGATATACTATTAGACTTTGCATTGTCCTCTTCAGCTGTGTAATGACTTAGTAAATTATTTTTTACCACTGAAAGCATCACATTTACTAACACTGCAAACTGGAATGACTGAAAGGCCAAGGAGGTGCTTTGCTTGCTTCTTTGCAACAAGGATTGGTATTACCAAATCGTGAGGAACATGACAATTTATAGAGCTCTGGCTATGCTGGTCTGCCCAGCTCATGGCTCAAGTGCAAAGCACAGATGTAGTTCAGAAGGCTGTCTTTGCCACAGTAAAGAAATTTGCAAATTTTATAACAAGAATACATATATTTACTTGAAGAGTGGAAGTTGGCTTAGCAAAACAGCTTGAAAATCATGTCAAAACTGATCTCAAAATGAAAAGATGTTTCAAATGAAATATATGAAATAGTGAACCTCTAACGCATATAATCAAAATCACCTTTCTGCGGTGTTTCTTTCCATTCTCCTCTTGGGAGAAAGTTGGCATTTATCATTATAGTAGCATCTATTATCTCTCTTTAAACAATTCTTAATTTTAGCAGAGAAGCCTCCACCTTCTCTCAATACACAATAGATGAAACCCCTCTAAGGCTTCGACCCTTTTCAAAAACCCAAAGTCACATATGGGATAAAGAAAGAAACAGGATGTTCAAGTAAACTAAACAAAAATAGGAAGAACACTGTTTATGAAATGGCAACCAGAGTCCTGACATACACAATATTCTGACTGTTTTTTCCTTTGCCATAAGTTTTCTGACCCTTCTGGTTTTTTGTTTGGTTTTGTTTTCTTTCTGGCTGATTTATTCATCAGCTTTTTCTATCACTATGGCAAAGGCAAATATCCTCTGGAAGGAAGACGTTTTCCCTCCTCCACACTTCCTCTAGGACAGAGAAGAAAGAACATCAATTTATTATCCTGCCAAAGATGGACACCTGGACAGAGACACCCACCATTCTCAGAACAGAAGTTCGAGACTGGAGTGTGCTTTGGCAAAATCTGCCTAAGGAACAGATCATTTCCCACATTTGCCTTTACTGTAGGTCCAATGTCTGATTTACAGCAATATTTAACAGCAGTGGCTTTAGCTTTGCTCATAACCAGCAAAGTTCATCATGCAGTTCTTTAAATAATGTCATTATTTGCTGAGATTATGACTCCTTGTTTGAGGTATGACTTCCTTCTTTAGCTTGTCTTACTTTACTGCAATTATTATTCCTTCAACAGTGAAAAACCATAAAATTGTTTTAAAAGACAAAACCCATTCAGAACGAACAATGCATACAAACACTGGTAAATACCGGTGCATATAAATTTGTCTAATTGGAACATTTTATCTCTGAACAGAGGAAGAAACTTCCCAAAAGTTTCCCACCTACAAATTATTGTATAATCAGACAGTATCAGTTTCAGAAATCTCAACATACTTAAATCAAGGAAATTCAAAACATTTGCTGGAAATGAGAGGAATTTAAATCACAGTTCATGCTAATCTTCAGATTAAAAAAAGTAATCTTCCTCATTTCATCTATGCTGTGATATTTATAACATTTGCACTGCCTATATTTAGTCTGTGACCTTTACATTTGACCTTTAATTAAAATAAGTCATAGAAAGGCAGATAAAAAGATATTTTTTTTAAAAAAAGAGGAATTTAAGTTTTTTTTAGCTATTTATTTATATACTTATTTATATACTACAGATTACTCCTGAAAATGTCCTCTGTACACTACCTTTATTAAAAGTACATAAACACAAACTTGTTTCCTGGTGCCACAAAAATGCTAGATCTGCATCTATTTTGTCAGGATTAAGATTCATTTTAACAATTAATTTATTAGTCCTATTCTCCACACAACAGGGAATTTATAGCTT